GACAGTAAGGTGCTATATCAGAACCAGTCCGGTTACCATCCTAGTGGCAGCTATCAAAGCTTTTCCCCCCACACTGCACCTCTTTAGCAAATACATAAAACAGCTTTTAAAAGACGGTTTTGCTGTGCAGATGTTAATAAATCTGTTGCTGATGTAGTTAATAGTTAATGTCTTTGTCGTCTACCAGTCGTAAACTAAAATGTACCAAAACATTGCATAAAAACAATGAGAAAAACATTTTATTAGAAATGTAGAATAAAAGGACAAAATATAAACAGATATTATAAACCATAATAAAAAGCCAGGTGGGTAAGCTGGGCTGGTCTGCAGAGTGAATAAGATCCTGTGTAGATGTGGTTCACACAGGATCTGGTGCGCGGCTCAGCCCGGGCTTATCAAGCTGCCAAAGTAAGCAGTCACTGTCTTCAGCTTGTTGTTCAGGAAGTTCTGCTCGACCTCCACCTTCCCTCCTGGGCCGGCTAAAGAGGCCACCTGTAGCAAAGAGACAGATTTCAGTAAGACAGTCCCAACACAAGCTGACCAGAGCTAACACACATTACTACAACACAATACTCATGTATGGGTAGATAAAGAACGATCCCACCGTTGCCAGTCCAGGTGGACATGAACATTCAGACATCACGGTCACACTAAATATATCAAAGTACAGATTACATGTTTGAGAAACTCTGAACACACTGACCTGATCCATGTCCACATTACGCGGAAGAAAGAACACAATGTTGTCTGATATCAGTTTGGCCAGGCGGAAAATCTCGAATGTGCCGAGAGTTAAGGATGAAAACTGTTCAAAAACAGAAACTTTCAGATTACACAGATGTGACTGACTGTGTTAGCTGCATGCTGCAACGTGCCTGAATAAAGTTCACCTTTAATGGAGTTAATTGTAGGGACTGTGTTACAATATAAAGTGGAGGGAGGCAACTGTTGTTGTGACGTAGCCGTCTGACAGCACATGTATTCCTCAAATATAAATATTTTATTTATTTGCACCTAATATAATATATCTTCCTTTTCCTCTATTCAGTTCTTGCACATTGGTTTGGTGATGTTTGCAGTATCGTGGTAACGTGACACAGTCCTGAGCCACACTCCCATAGAACCACGGCGTCTTCACTACCACTGAGACCATTTCTGACTTCAATCAGCTGCAGGAGCAGACGCCGCAGATGGCCCCGCCCCTCCCTGAGCCTGGAGGTTTCTTCCTGTTAAAAAGCATTTTTCCTTCCCGCTGTCGCCACAGTGCTCACAGCTGCTCGTCTGACTGTGGGGTTTTCTCTGTCGGTCTTTGCTGGATCTCTTTCCTCTTTCTTTCACGACCTTCAGACAACCCGCTGTAGATATTTTTAGCCCTGGCACTTCTCGTTTTGTTTCCCACTCAAACTCCTCAGATTCTTTAAGGACTCCTACACCACCTCAAGTCGATGTATTAAAAACGTGGGTGTCTGTGCCACATGACTGTCAGTGTGATGTTTGCAGCTGAGACTGAACTGCAACTGAACGTGGAAGCAGCAACGTCCAGAAACTGAAAACTGTTCAAAATGACAAGAAAGTCTGACTGACTGGAAACAAAATATAAAAAGTGAGGGACTATTTCTTCTGCGCGTCAGTCAGTAAACTTGCCCTTTGCAATAAAACTAGCCCTTAAATAACTTTGCGTTACACGTGGCGAGCCAGCCAGGAGCCTGATGTGTGAATGAGTGGTTTTTGTGTTATTTGATTTAATTGAATGTTTGGTATTTTCTTTTTTGAGAAGGTCCGCGACAAGGAAGAAATGAAGTTTATTCAGGAAAGTGCGGTCAATGTTGCACATTCTGTCATTGTTTCTGGTGCCACGAACACTGAGAAAGAAATTCTTGATTATTTGAAACAATACGGTTGTATAAAAAAGGTTATTTTCGTGGATGACACACGTAGCGTGTTTTACAAAAACCTGATCGTTGAATATTTTGATAGTTCTGCGTTAACTGCTCTCAATGCATTTTTCCCATATACTCGTCAGTCAAAGAATTACTCTGCTTTGACTTTTTGTGTAA